GGAAAATTGGGAAAAAACGTTAGAAGTTGATTAGACATACATTATGGAAATCATCAAACTGTATCATAAGTCAAGCCTTAAGTTGGAATCTTGAAGCGTAACAGAAAAGAAGAAAACACATAAGAAACACTGAATGGATGACATTCAAACAGCACAAAGCATACAGTCTGAATTCTACTACGAATCACAATTCAATATTTATTAGCTTAGTTAATATTCACAAATAATTTACAATCATAAGAATATTCAAACATACCTACATAGTTTAAACAGGAATATACATCAATTGCAGCTGAATAAAAATATTCCCACTTCGAAGTTTTCTTTTGTTGTTGTTGTTGTTGAAGAAGAAGAAGACGACGAAATAACAGAGGAAATAGGCAAATCTATTTATTGATGATTAAAATGAGGTGTGAAGAGAAGAAGAAAAAGAAAAAGAAGAAAGGGAACAATCTGTGAAACTTCTTTCCATTCAAACTAATTTCACATAATGGTTTACCATCTAAAAGAGACACACACAATCAATAATATTGAATTGAAACATATTGACTGTTGACAGTATTTATTTTTGTTTACTATAAAAGGATTAAGTCAGTTTTTTTTTGCTTTCAACTTCATAGTTGAAATCACGAATAGAACTTAGTTAGACAAAGAAAATCCAAAAAGAATTGGATAGTTGTTTTGTCTTTGTATGGAGATACATCATTGACATTGTAGTGTTTCAACATCACCAACGATTAAAATCGAAACTCTTAGAAATCATGACAAGTGTCTAAGTTTCAGGCTACTGAGTTGTAATCTGTAGTGTCAGTTACTATATTAAGCCTATATGTAACTTATTCGAGCTTCTGGACAGGATAATTTATCCCCTCTTCTTGAGTTACGTTTTAACCTGGTTAATGATTCACTTATCAATCCTGACCATCTTTATAAGAGCGTATATGTATGTACACTTGTTATCTTATTCATCACATTTTTATCTGGTTATAAATATTGATTAACGCTTGATTAAATAGAGTTGGCTAAGACATCTTCTCCACTGTGCGTTATTTCCTTCCGCTTTGCTCTTTCTTGTTTGCTGAGGTTATCTGATTATCTGTTCCGATCAACAAGTATGTAGTGAACGAGAACACGGGTGGGGACAATAGAATGTATTTAGCTCGAAAATTACAGACTATCTCAACAAAATCTGAATACCATAAAGTCAATCGTCAATTGTCAATTTGCAAATTATCAATGCATCATATCAAACTGTACTGTTCCCGTTGCAAACACCAATCCATTGTCTCCCATTTCATTGTTCATGCGTTTTCTTACAAATTCTATTGTGTTCTTGCTCTTCTTTTCTTGATCTTCTCCATTTTCTGCTGCCAGACATTACGTCCTTTTAACGCAAGTTATATAAGTAACTCACACCACAGTATACAAAATATACGTATTCAAGAATCCATTATCATATTTGACTTATTTAATTCCTTTATTCACCAACACGAGTTAAGTCGATTGAGTATATTACGAGGATTGACGAGATGTATATTATCAATAACAATCATTCATACAATGTAACTGGAGTCAGATTCCGGGTCACTAAAAATCCATTGGTTTTTACTAAAGCAAACATTATGAATGAAATTTAAATCTGGCTCTCAAATTTTGTTTAAATTGAATACGTTGATCAAATACAACTTACATCTTGTTTTGAAGAGAAAAAAAACGTTATCAGTCTTTTTTGAATTAACTAGAAGAGTTTGACGTATGGATTCTGGAGAAGTTCGTAAGGTTTCTCTTTACTCTGGCCGAATTCAAGTCAATATGCGCATACTACATGATGAATAACTTCCACAATACAATTCACATTGTCCTATTTAATTCTATTTTCATACAATCAATGTTCAAAATTAGTGCAATTACTAAGCTGGCCATCCAACTTTATCATCAGTATGGCTATTGACACTAACTGTTTGTAAGATGAGTGTCAACAGTGTAGTATTGATACATACATTCAGTCGATGATTTCTGATAACGGGGAGGAGCTGAACTGTATTTCTTATACTAACTGCTATTTGAAAATCAACTTCTATTTAGTATCCAACAATTAACGATCTGTTGTGAATAACATTCATCAACATTGATGTTATATGACATAATTCAAAAACGACGGAGCAACCATCACAAACTGCTATACAAAGTTTTCACCTTATTCACAGAATATTTTCTGTTTAAAACTGGGTATATATCCAAAACGCATGTACTTACCCTCTTCAATATAGTGTTTACAATCTATTGCTTATCTAATTACTAAGAAACTCAAGAAGTATACTTTCTTCCTCTTCTGACATTTAAAGAAATGGTAACTATTGGAAGACTCTAAGAATCCCACAATCGAGTATTCAGAGGCCATAAAAACGCTTAAAACATCTCTTTCTATGAGGATCAAACAGAAGCCTATAAAAAAATATCCAGAAAAACTAAGGCCTATTACAATTTGATTACTTATTTTGTTCTTCTATTAAATACATTTCCAGAATCTTTTATAAAACTAAAACTATCCATAAATGTATCGGTAAACTCGTCTGTTTTTTTTTTGTCGGTATAAAAATTAACGTTGAAGCAAGACTAGTCTTTTATATGATGCATCAGTTCACCCTTTCTGGTTAGCGTTTTTTTAGCGAGTTAGTTTTCTACAGGATGGGGACGCTAACCCCATGCCCAACCCTCCTCCTTTATCCGGGCTTGGGACCGGCAGTAGCCCCCGGAGGGACTCCAGACGGGACTACAGGTTAGAGAATGCTGGTCGGCGGCCTATGCTCCATTGGGAGTAACAGGCGTAAGTAAGTAAGTAAGTAATAAGTAATCAGTTCACTCTTACACGAAGCTTAAGCATAGAAGTAATTGAGAAATCTAAAGAGTGACCAAAGAAATTTACTAACCAGTCCAAGTAGTATATAAATCAATTTCTATTCATAAAGTAAATACTTCTAAAATGAAGGCATTCTGTGACAATTCCGTACATTTTGTTATATTAAGAATCGTATCAATGGGATCAAACGTTCAGTAATGAATACTACTGAAAACGATCATATATATTACTATTATCTTGATGTATGAATGATAAATGAGATGATATTGATTGAAATGAGTGAAGTACTTAAACTCTTTTAATTCACGTACTTTTTTTTTCGTTTTTTTTTCTAGGTTACCTATCATAAAATTAAGGACAAATTAAAAGTTTGCTTAGAGATAATTACTAATCGATTAAATGTAAATGAGAAAAAGAGAAATCAGTGAAGAAAATGTTCTTTTCGACGAAATCATTTATTTAAGTTGTACATTCATATATAGTTAGTTATATGGAAAATGTATGTTTATAGAAGGATATTTTCAATAATTATCACTCATCAATTAAATTTACCTTAGCAACAGAGGTAAACCATGAATTTCATTTTCTTGATGTCCGTTTTTTTAAAAATGCCTGACGGTTTTTTACAGAGATCTATATACCGAAAACCTACTTGGAATGGACTATACACGAACTTCCATAGTTGAGTTCCATCAAGTAGAAAAAGGAACTTGATTCACTTTTTATCCTCAAAGATCAAGCAACTTGGCACTCAGATTTCATGACAAATCATCGACAGTAGAGAAGAAAACTCTTTTTATGAATATGGAATTTAAAGGAGACACGGCTGCTGAAATCATAAATAAACGGATTTTGAAATCATTGAATAAAACATTCTACGCAGCTAAGCTCCGAATCGTTTTCTCTAGCCGACCTACCATTCTGGGAGGTGTTAAGGACAAACTTCCGCTTTGAGCCACATCAATTTGCATATATTAATTTACTTGCTCATGTAGGGCAAGTTACATAGGCCGCACAAAGCGATTATTATCCAAACGCATCTTGGAACATTATCCGGCCTGGTTCTTAAAAGGGGAAGGTAAAACAATCACTAGTTCGATACATGAGCACTTAATTAACTGTGGACGCATTGCTCCAAAGGATTCTTCATTTAAGGTAGTTTACACAGTCAAATGAACTGGATCGAAGGGGATTCGAATCAATATTTTATGCACCGCAGAGGCATTGGCAATCCAAAAACTCAAACCTGAACTTTGAGTGAAGAAACGATTTGTCCAACCTCTCATCCTTCCTTCGCCTTAATTCCTTTAATGGGTATGTTTCTGTGTTGGTGTTTTTTTTGTTGTTGTTTTTCTGCACTTGTATTTAATTATCATGGTTTTTTTTTTTAAATTACTATTTTGCATTGTAAACTCTAATCATTCATCATTATTATTACATTATACAAGTTTTCTCGATAAGACCTTTGTTGTTTGTCGCTTTTCTTCAAATCTGTCAATTGGACTATTATCTGACTCATAAATTCTGTTCTTCCTTACTCTTTGATTAATACGTTAACCTCATTTGTTATTTATTCTTGAATCCATTTTTGTGATACGATCCTTTCTATCTTTCTATAGATATACATTTTCCATATAACTAAGTATATACGAATGTACAGCTTAATTAAATGATTTCGTCGAAAAGAACATTTTCTTGACTGAATTCTCTTTTTTAAATATAAATGAATTTTGTTAGACTATTATCATGCACGTCTTTGCTTTGCAAGTTGTCGAACACGTCGACAACCTCACTTGGAAGTTTGATCAGCCCTAATGGAATGGTGTTTGACGAAATTTCCATATGGATTTTTAAAAAGCTCATTTGGCTTTTGCCAACATATATCACCTATGGCGAAGGTGAGATATCCATCTCTCAATTAAAGTACAATTATTGAAAATATCCTTATATAGACATATATATAACTAACTATATACGAATGTACAGCTGAATTCTCTTTTTCTTATTCACTGACACTATGGGTTATTTTAATTATCTAAATGTAAATGTTTGATTAAAAAAATTTTTCACACACACACACACACAAGCACATACACACACGCATACACAAGAATATTGATCATAAATAAAAAAATCCTATACATAGTTATGTAATATTTCTCGTGAAATTTACAAACAAAAAAAGTAAAGTAAACAGACTGTTGTATAAACCTTGACAACAAGAACAACAGTAGAAAAAAAAAGAATTTATTACAATTATTCGAACATACAAAAAAAATCATGATCAATTAAATAGTAGACAAAATTTACTTAAACTTCACGATACTACTTATTAGTCAATTCATCAATGTTAGAATCATTGTCATATAAAATACAAAAAACAAATAGTAGTTGTAGTAGTAGTGTTAAAAGTAGTAAGTAGTAAGGTTATGAGAAGTGAAAAAAAAATACAAACATAACATTCTCTTCTTTTTGTTTATTTTAAAATAATCCATTTATGAATAACAGATTGAAACATTGAATACTTATAAATAAATATGCATTTATATGAATCCAATTTACAGCATGATTACAAGCATATCTACCATTGATAAGTGGTACTTCAGTGAAGGATTCTATAAAAAAATATAAATAAAACGATTAGCATAATAAATTAGAGCATATTTATATGTATAGATAATGATATCAGACCCAGGAAGTTCGTTAAAAAAAAGCCTAGAAGGGCCCCAAAACGCTGGGAAACAATAGAAGTTTATCAGAAACATCTAGAGAGTGAAGTTTCACGTGTCACATTTCGGTTTGAGTGATTACCTACTCAGATACTATGTTTCGTAGGGTTCCAGAAGATTCCAGATGCCCATGTTTGTCTGAAACGCCATAAATAACCTAAATGTCCTGTACATAAACTAATTCTGGAGTACAAGTGTTTATTAACAGTTGTCTACGCAAAATATTTCAAATCCGTTGACCAGACACTATCAGCAACAGCCTAATATGGGATCGAACAAACCAGATCTCAGCGGAGGAAGAAATCAGGAAGAAGCTCTGAAAGTGGATAGGACACATATTAAGGAAAGCACCCAACTGTGTCACAAGGCGTACCCTCACATGAAATCCTCAAGGCCAAAGGAGAAGAGGAAGCTTAATGAATGCATTACGCCGAGAAATGGAAACAGTCATGAGAAGAATGGATAAGAATTCAATAGAAGTAGAAAGGAAGACCCAGGACAGAGTGAGTTGGAGAATGCTGGTCGGTAGCCCATGCTCCATTGAGAGTAACAGGCGTAAGTAAGTAATTAAAATTAAAATATTCGTCTGTTAACATACATGTGTGTAGGTGGTGAATTGAAACGATAATATTTAGTTTACAAATTGAAAATAACGTTATGTTTCATGTGAAATCATTACTATCTATGCTTTATACAACTGAACAAAATAAAGTATACTCCTTTTCTCTAACTTAGAAATTTTAGACTTCATAGGTCTACGGTTATTATTGATTGAAAACAGATTTAAAATGTTGTGGATGAACACGACGATAGAAAGTTCTAAATAATGAAGAAAAAAAATCCAACATCTATTCAGTACTTACTAATTGTCTCAATTTAATGCCCTAACTATAGAGATGACTCCGCCTGGAGCCACTCTGAGGCTACATCCGGTCTCAAGCCTGGACAAAGAAGGAGAGTTGGGCATCGGGTTAGTAAGCCCATCCCGTGGAAAACTAACTCGCTGAAAAAAAGCTAATCAGAAAAAAATGATTCAAACCACTTAAACTCTGCCCTAGGATTTAGAAGGTCCTGATTTAAAAGAGTTATGACGCCTCATGGTGAAAGCCAAGTTCCTTCGGAAGTCACGAAGATGATATCCTTTCTGACAACCAGAGAAACCATTAATTTAGTTTCATGGAATGCTCTTACAATGTAGGAGACCGGGAGAGTCATCCAAATTGCTGCAGAAATGAAAAGGTACAACCTAGAGGTACTGGGAATCAGTGAAACACATTGGAAGCAGGTTGGACAACAAAGCTTAGCTTCAGGGGAGCTGCTGTTATACTCCGGCCATGAAGAAAATGCCACACATACAGAAGGAGTTGCACTGATGCTAACTATAAAGATATCAGTTTTGACAAAATTTATTTGAAAAATCACGACTAATCTTTTCCATGTTTCAACTATTTAAAATTTTTTGCATTATATGGGTTTTAGGAGATTACTGAATGTTATGAATATCACAAATTGATCTAAGTTGGTCAGGAACTAAGAATCATGAAGCACTGAACAAGTATTTCGTCTAGGCAGTAATCACTCTCGGATCCCATACTAAGTATCAAGCTCAGAACACTAGGTCTCGTGTGCGATTTATTAACCGTAAGACAGCTCATCCAGAATACAATAGTGTATTTATCTAAACTCAATCTTATCATGATATTACAAGAGCATTTTCCATAGTTTTCGGTGGATAACTGTCTAAATCCCGATACAATTGGCCCCAATCGGTTACAGTTTCACATTAAAATTCTAAAATTACCTCTTGGAAAGGAATACACATCGTATTCGTTCCAGTGTTAATTTATTTAAAAGAGTCAATAATAAACAACCTAGATAGTGAACGTTATGTACAGCTATCCAAGTCGCTAAACCACATTAATAGAACGAGATGAAATTATCAAGACAAGTCCAAGAGTTGTAAAAATAGTAATACCATTTATGGTCGAAGGAAATAAACGAATCAAGAGATTATAGATTCATAGAATAAGTATAAGACAGTTTTAAAATAGAAGAGAATACTTATGATACATAATGAGGATTATGAAGATGTTTTGTCTTCTGAGCTGGTTTAAAGCATCCAACTCAGAGTACAAAATTTTCTCACAATTCTAAAACTCACGATTGAAGGGAAGAAAAAGAGTGAATGCATCTAAGCTAATGTGAGAGATTTTTTGAGCCATGTCTCTTGAAGTTTCTGCCCATTGGTTACGATAATCATACGGATCCAAATCATGCAGTCTGTACCTGCCAACATGGTTCAATGTAACGGTTAACAACTTCATGAACAGATACCATTTATCGATTCGCCCGCTATTAACTTCCTTCCAACTTACTCCTACACGAGACAACATCGAGTTTTCATGTAGGTGATGTTTAATTAATTAATGGACAAGAAACTAGGGTATTCAAAGGTTATATTTGATCTTAAACCTTCAGAAGATCCTAGACGATATTTTCTAGAATTCTGTTGGAAGATTAAAATAAACTTTGTTTCCTCACAGTATTTTCAGCATTTCCCTGTTTACTGAAGACTTTTCAAACTGAAAAACTGAAATGAATGGACTTATTCATATAGTTGACAAGCTTACCATATACACATTGTCGTTTGTAAATTCTCTCACTATAATAATTTGATTACTTAATGACAATTACATCATAATAGTTGAGATCATGAGTCAATTGAAGGTAGACCACCATGGAAAACCTGAAATCACTGGACGACCCCTCCGTCCTAGTATGGGACTCCTCAGCAGTGCGCATCCACGACCTCGCATCGCGTGATTCGAACCCAGAATCTATTAGTCTCGCGCGTGAACGCTTAACCTTTAGACCATCAAGCCAGCATTCAACAGTGTTAATGTCTAACTTCATATAATACACGAAATTGAGTGACATTCACCATTGTCATTTGTGAATTACTATCTCACAACAGACCTAATTGAATTCCATTGGTCACTGCCTCTCACTAGAACTCCAGTAAATACCTCTTAAAGACCGCCACTAGTGAGTATATATTGATTACATCATTTCCTATCGTAGCCGTAGATAGTTTTATTCTCATCAAGATTTTCAGCTATATTTTCCTAAAATATTGAATTCACTTATATCAATAAGCAAAGTTGTACTGGTTATTTTTTCACGACCCAGTTCATTATTACAACCATCAATTGTTTAAGGGTCATTATTCATCGAAGAGAAAAACGTCATCACTTATTCACCTTTCATATCTATATAGTTGGTACTGAAATATAATATTATTAAGTTTATCTTGACATTCCAATGACTTTATTTCCATTACACAATTGTATGATTGTTTTTTCAAAGCGATTCCATCTCTTGCACATGCGATTTTAAGTTAGATAAACCAGTGACCAAATCACAAACTGATCGATAAAACTTCATTAGAACCAGGAAGGACTTGACATACATAATATTGGTCACTACTCAGTTATTGACATTGATCATTTGGAAAAAATAGTGTTTTAAGTGAGAGAATAGAGCAGAGAAACATGCACAGAATCTAAGAAGAGTATTATTATTATTGTTTCACACTTACCTGCAATCATTGTGGTAGCACTGACGGTACCTAAACTATTCGATGCAGTACATGTATAAAGATCACCAAAATCTAGTTTTTTTATTGGTGTCAAATCCAGAACGAGATCACGTATTAATCCAGCATTTAAATAGGTTAATCTTGTTCTATAAGAAATTATAGTAAAATATTTTAAGAAACTTGTCAATGTATACTGATTAACTAATAAGTAGTAAATAATGACATGTATTATTATAAGGGTGAAACTGTTGAATTTTCCGCGTAATATCGTGGTCTATTTTTAGTTAAGCAGCCTTGTAAAATAAAGAGGCATTGAACAATTGTTTCGTCCTAATTTAGGACTACTCAATTGTGTGTATCCACGATCAAACTGTTAGACTGTCATTGGAATCTTCAGGTCTCTCAATGAGTAATTAATCTTCAGACAATTGAACTGTCATCCAATGGTTTGTGTATTTAATTTTAATGAAGTTGAGATGATGTGCAACCATTTCTCAACATAATTAGTGAGACGAAACAACTTTATAGTGGTTCCTAGTTATCAATCGTCATTTAAATAAGACCATACAGTAATACTAACTATATAATTCAACAATCTGTCCTCTACTTGATTAACGCAGAATACGATATACAACAAACGGCACTTGAACTTATAGAACCCCATAGTTGCAAGTCAGAAGACAAAAGAAAGCAAAAAAAGTCATTGTTCAAAAGAAATCAAAGATGTACAGAAAAAAATTGTATTCCTAGTTATTAGTATTGGTTGTAATATCAATATAATTCAACCAATAGCCAAGGAGGAAAGTCGTGCCACCGTCCAATTATAGCATGCCACGTTGATATTGTAGAAAGCTTCATTAGGCTCTGGGAAGGCGGGAACTCTTCGGTTTGTTTACGGCTCCTGGAGGCTCCGTCGTGCTTTTCGAAAGCCATCCCAACAATATGCTTATTAGTGATTACGAGAAGTAATTTCCATGAGTTCTTGTGATAAGCCGTGACTAGTGGAGTTGAACCATGTCGAATATAAGATATGTATCCATCAGTGATATAGGAAGATTGCAAAGCAATATAGAAAATCAACTGAAACTCAACATGTAAGCCACTGTGTATCAGTTCAGTGGCCAAGGGGTTAAGTGCTCGCCGTGAAAGTCATAAGTTTCATTCCTACTAAAGTTACAGATGCGTACTGCTAATTAGTCCCATACCAGGATGAGAAAGTTGTTTGTCTGGTGCTTCTTAATCTTCTTTGGCTGTTTAAGTAAGATCAGTCAGTAATGTTTACCAAAGAATATCATGTATCTTTAGATTTCTTATTGCTGTTGATTCAATTCCATTGATCAAGTCGTAACATGGTGACTATCCTTTAACTGACTTGAAGGTTGAAGATCGTCTAAAAGAATGTTCGTCTAATCTACAAGTCGTACTAGTTGATATTTGTCGTTAATATGTATCCCTAACATTGTGGGAATCGATGCTCGTTGTGAGATACGAACTTAAGTCATTCAGATTCACACGCAACTTTGTTATCAATGAACTATTAGGGCCATAAATAAGCTGATACCGTTCATTTATCACCAGCTACTAGACACCATGAAATTGATTGCTACCAAATTATCAATCAACTTTAAAACTTAAGTAAACATAACCTTTATTTTCTACAGATGTAGAAATTGTTTTCCTGGGATATCGTAGATTTAGATAATAGTTTGAAAAACATGACCTAATTCATATGAATTTTGTTTGTTTGTATCTAACAACATATGGGATTTTTCTTGATTCAACTAAGTTTGAAGTTTAAATTTTTGTTGAGATAATCTTTTAACATATTTTTTCTGTGGACTAGTTTACCTATGTGATATATAGTGGTAGTAATAAAGCAGATATTTCAGCTCCGTGAAATGATGAGAACAAAGCGTTTAAATCCCTCAGCGGGGGGGGGTTGGAAACAGTTCTTTCAGGATAACAGGCGCACCTCACTGACGAGTACCAACTAGTACGAAACCCACTTAGTTCTAAAAGGATTTCCTATAGACTATATTCAACCAATTATCATCTCGTCGTCATGCACCAGATATCGAGTTTCTTATACCAGTGGCCACGATAAAACTGAATCAGTAGAACTCGATCAGTAATCAAGACTAGACAAATGTGAAATTAGTCATTACCCAATTGCAAATAATAAAGACGGTAACAGGAAAAATTTATGATTATAAAAAATAGATTTGATACATTTTGAGCATAGTTGGATAGTGATTGGTATTGGAATCTGAGACAGGTGTTTCTATATGGGACTTATCAACTTGTACCCCAATGTTGATGCTCACATCGAGACTTGAAACAAATATCTGTTGCATCAAAATACCAAGGTGTTATCCATTTAGTTACTCAATCCAGATACCAATGGTTTGTTTAATGAGGATGAATTTCAAATCAGTTGGAAGGGCTGTTTGAATCATGTTAAGGACCACAATTGATCGATCTCTTTTAGAATATAAGCATTCTGTGAGGACTCTCTCGATAACACGATATCAAATAAAATGAAATGCTGTGCAAAATACTTTAATATGCTTGAAAGGCAAATATATTACTAATTTCATCTTTTAAATATTGCATATTTAGTGAAAGTTATTTCGGAAGCTTTTCATAAGTAGTAGCGTTGTACTATGACGAATCGTACCACCATAGATAAAGACTATCACAGTAATCAGTGGTATGTCTCCCGATTCTTTGCCACGATCAAATTCTATTTATTTTTATGAACAGAACCAGTAAAATTATGTACAAAGTAGAGTGTAATGTAGCCAGTAGTAGAATTCAGAATACGAGCTTCGTCGTATTTAAGATTCTTTAACTGGATGTAGCTAGATTTCACAATTCGGACGCTACAACTTTTGAACCAAACACCAACGGATTATCCCCTTTCCATTGAGTCCAAACAGACAGTCTTTTAGACGACGGTTATGGATTTTAGCTTTATTTATAATGACTTGAATTATCCTGTTGTTCGCAAACTAAGATTAAGTATAACTAAAACTCAATCTTAGTTGACATATGTTTACAATATCTCTCATATTTCTGTTCATTTATTGAGCGATTCCTGCAATACAAATGAATAATTTTGACTGAAGGCTTCATTTCAATCAACCATAGTTATCTATACGCATATTCTGTAAACGTGCCACTGTAGCACATCCCAACATACCGTTTGGAAGAAAAAAAGTCAATAAAATGAATGGGTACGTTACTTCAAAGAAACCATCCTTTAAAATAATCTATACAGTCAAAAGAATTAGATCAAAATGAGATCAAATCCAAAAACTTATACAATGTTGAGACGTTGTCGATCTATCGATTCAAGCTTGAAACGATACGATCAATATTTCACCGTTCTTTGACCCGAATTCTATTCAGTTATACTTATATTTATATCGCATAGTTAGAATACATGCAAAGAAGAAAACAACACCTCTTACCCAACAGATCCTGAAGTAATAGTGCCTGTTCGATTTGATATCCATTGACAAGCATGTTGTTCTACTGGAGGATTAGCATCAATTAAACATATTAATCGTAGATTACAACCAGATTTTTGAAATGGTTCAACAGGGAATATTCGAACAATTGGTGCATCTATAATACAATTATTTTATTGTAAACAAAATCATTGATGTGATATATGTCTATGTAAATACAAAAAGTAATTTAACCAAGATGAGTTCAAACTTTTAAATATCTATGAAATAAGCTTATTGTTATTATCAGTTACTGATTGATTATTGATAAATGGCTCAAGTTAAAATCAATATTCTAAGGATTTTTTGTGTCATATGATTGGAGGCAATATGGCAGAAAATCCTTAGATATAGGTTTCGTGTTACTTGGTACTCTTTAGCAAAGTATAGTAACAATCTTAAAGGTAACTGATATTTCTCGTGGGATATGATCATTGAGTTTTCTTGTTTGTCCAGTTTTACCTACTATTGATTGAATTCTATCGATTAAGCTGCAATAAGCCGCGACTTCAAGTGGGTTAATAACGCGTGCACTATATTACAATCTTACGTGGTTAAAGGAAATCTTCAGAGAACTGATTTTAGGAGGTTAGTAACCTATGAACACTTCTGTCAGTTTTTATATAGTACTTAAGTAGAAATCTAAAAAGTGAAGTTATGTCCATCATCCAACAGTTTAAAAAAATATGCCAAATCTCACCATTCCTCTTTAACTTTACCATCAATGATGTTCTAGAAACAGCTCTGGTGGATGTAGATAATCATACTGTGGGTCTGTTACCTGGAGAAAGACTTTTCGACCCTGAGCATGCGGATCATATTATCTTACTGTGCGATGATACCCAGGCCATGCAACCCGCACTTAATCAGTTGACTACCAGCATTTATAAGTACGACATGTGCTTTGAGCCTTTGAAGTGCAAATTACTTTTGCAAGACCTGCATTAGCCTACACCTGTACTCACTCTTTGTAGTAAGCAGGTAGAATTAGTTGAGAAATTCATGTATATCAGTAGCTGTATAAATGCTAGTGATGGGATGAGCGATGAGAGAAACTCACGTATAGTCAAAGCCAAAACAGTCTATTCCAGTCTAAGCCAACTATAGCGCCTGTGTAATATTAGTTTGACTGAAAAAAGGTCATATCCACAATGAGTCAGTGAGAGCAGTTTTTATGTATGCTTGTGAAACCTGGCCTCTCCGAGTTGAAGATGTCAAGTGACTCTATGTTTAGTCATCGTTTTATTCAAAGGATTACTGACATTCAGTGACAACACCATCTTGGTAATGTGGAGGTTCAGCAATGTGTGTTTTGGTACAGCCGCGATAATTGAATTAGTGTCACTATCTTGAAACACCGACTTCAGTGGCTTAGGCATGTACTACGAATGTCGTCCCAGTGAATTCCATATCGTGCATTAATTTCCGACTCTGGAATTGGTTGAAAATAGTGGATGTGTTCGGTTTATGACATGGTGCTGGTATATGAAAAGGTGTACAGGACTGTCTTCCATCAATCCTTTACGAATCCCTAGTTAGGGTCCTAGAGATAGTGTTATACAGTGGATGAAGACCTTATCAACATAGCTGAGAATAGAAGCTGGCGGTGATTCTGTTGTAATTTTCTTTTACTTCATATATATAAATGAGAGGAACGTCTCTAGTTAAAAGAATCCTTTCTGGTTGTATTTTTCTAATAAACTGGTTCCCTAATCATCTTCTTTATTCTTATTTGATAATTTCTGTTCGTTTTCGTCCTTTTTGTATTTTACCCACCTTCCTTTGTCTCCCAACAAGTAAATTGTAAACAAGTCGAGAGTGAGTTAAGCATAGCTGGTAACAATGTTTGCGTTAGATAAATACAGCATTTGAATATTTTGATATCAACTATATGATTCCTTGTCAGTATTTGGAATGTAGCATCCTCTTATTTGCATTCGATTCTAAGTATTTTAATGAATGACCAAAGTACTGTAGGTCTTTAAACTTGAATGGAAATTGGCTATTCTATTACATTTAATAGTTCATCAGCTTAGATCAATCTGTAGCAAGAAACGTGATCTTATGAATATTCACTGGAATAAGAATATATTATTGAATACTTACGCCTAACTTGCAATCGAACGCGCCACAGTGCTCGACCCATAGAATTCTCAGCATAGCACATATACTCACCAGCATCGTCAGCTTCAACCTGATCAAATTTGATTACATTTCCCTAAAAAAAAAAAGAAATGAATCAACAAATGAGCAATGAAAGTTTGTTATCAACGTTGAAGATTAAACTTTTGAGGAAAACAGATGGTTTCCATTGATGCAACAATGTTAACGCTGGAATAGGTGGACAGATATTAAACCAAGAAAAAACTTTGAATGGCAGTCATTTCATTAAACCAGAATGACATTGATTTAACGATAACCACTGATAAACCATTTGAAATTACAGATTTCATAAAATATAAAAATTATACATGAAATACACTATTTGCACATCTTCCTTCAGTTGTTCTTTTACATGTGTTTAATGATTCTTTTAATTCTGTTGATATTACAATTGCTTTCTGTTTCCCTTCGTGTTCTCTTCGATTTAACCTTCTCAATATTCTGTTGATAGGCATTCCACTTCCGGTTTGTGCGACATACTACTTATATCTATCAACATGAGTCGCATACACCACATAATTAAGTATTTGTCTAAGTCTAAACAAATGTACTTCAACTTTCTATGTTGATATGAGTTGTATATGAAGAAGCGTATGTAAGATACTTTACTAATACATTAAAATACATAAAATGTAACATTATCGCTCTATTTCAGTTGTTGAATGGCGATTTCTTTAATCCTTAGATTGTATTAGACATAAATTAATATCAGTTGAAATACTACTGAAAGTCAGATATCACTGGATAGCTGACAACCTCAGCGAAGTTCATACACGATCTTAATAGCAATCAAGACCAAAATCTTCAGATTTTTTGATTAACTCTATTCATAAATAACTCACAGAAACCTATTTCAACCATAATTATTTAATTGTAAACCACCGAATCGATATCCAATAGTGTACATGTCTAATTTTAATCAATTGATGATATTAGGTTACAATTTTTGATTATCTGCTATAAATAACTATTTCACCATGGAAAACCTGGAAGCACTGGAAAGCCCTTTGTCTTAGTATGGGACTCCTCAGCAGTGCGCATCCACGATCCCGCACCCCGCTAGCTTCGAACCCAGCACCTATCATTCTCGCGCCATGCGTTTAACCAACTAGACCACTGAGCCGGCATCCAACGGTGTTAATGTCTAACTTCAGATAATCCACAGAATTCAGCGACACATCCACCATTGTCATCAGTGAGTTACTACCTCACAACTGACTCAGTTGAACTCCACCGGTCACTGCTCAGTGGTCTAGTTGGTTAAGCGCTTGGAGCGAGACTGATAGGTACTGGGTTAGAATCTAGCGAGGCGGGGTTGTGGATGAGCACTGTTGAGGGGCCCCACAATAGGAAGAAACGGCCTTCCAGTGCTTCCGGGTTTTCCATGATGGTCTAGATTCAATTGACTAATGATCTCAACTGTTCAAATTACTACAATCTCCACAAAACTCCTTCTGATAATAAATGAACTCCGCTGATCTAAACTTGTCAATCCAACTCAAAAAGACTCTGTTCTAAAGCTTTTCATTAGTGAAAACATGATTATCATTAGTATATAGTGATTTGTGAAGATTGTAGAATCAGTTAAATTATCTTTCAAAAAAAAGTTAATACTTGAATGAAACTAAAGAAAAAATGAAAACAAACAACATACTACTCACAAAAACATTTAAGTAGATGATATTTACTTTAATAAAAAGAAAAGAAAGCAGAAAAAACTACCGATTATTTTGTTTACTTTAGATAAGAACAACTTAACAACATTTCACTGATTACCTGTTATTTTGAGTAAATTTTCAGTTTGTTTGTTTGTTAATTTAAATAAACAATATTTATCATGATCATTAGATAAAATTATACCATTATAAAGATATACCTAAGACAGTATGATTTATTTATCTATTTCAACACAGATATTGGTACAAAGATGCACCAAATACATATGCGCCACACAAATCTCATTCGATATGTGTGAGGGCTGTGATACTTCCCGGATGCCCAAACCGAAGCAGGTGGTTTTCTTAGGGGACCACACCCATAGCCTTCGACCTGAGGGTCTGACCCACAAGGCAGTGGAGCATCGTAAGGAGATGCAGTCCCATGGAAGCCGGTGACCAACAATTGGTTCATACGCCATTTGTTCCCGCAGGATACTAGAGCCCATGTGCACCATTGATTTGGAATCCGGTTAAAGCGCCGGACATTCGCTTTTCATCCTCTCAATTTCGTAAACAACACCCCTGCCACGAGAAGGCAGTGAGTAGGACTTCCCTAGCAGAGGCTATATACGCGTGGCCACGTGAGAGCATTTCGAGGGGGAGAGCGGACTCTCCCCACTCTCGGCCGTATCAGGGCATTTAGGGGCCAGTATGAATATAATCAGAAAGGGATTTTGTGGATATTATAGTAATTTTAATAGTTGAGATCATGAGTCAATTGAAGTTAGACCATCATGGAAAATCTGGAAGCATTAGACAGCCGTTTCGTTGTATTATGGGACTCCTCAGCAGTGAGCATCCACGATCCTGCCTCATGAGATTCGAACCCAGAACCTATCAGTCTTGCGCACGAATACTTTTAGGTTTTACATGGTGGTCTAGCTCTATTAATTCATGAATTTAATTATTAAATCATTATAATATCCACAAAACCTCCCTTTGATTATAATCATCATATGCTCACTAGTGACGGTCTCCAAAAATTATTTCATGAAGTTCCAGTGAGAAGCAGTGACCAATGGAGTTCAAATGGGTCGGTTGTGAGATAGTAACTCACTGAAGACAATGGTTGATCGTGAAGTAATTTTATAGATTGGTTGAAGTTAGATATTGACACTGTTGGATGACGGCTTAGTGGTTTAAAGATTAAGCATTCGCACGCAAGACTGATAGGTCCTTGGTTGGAATCTCGCGTGGCTGGATCGTGGATTCGCACTGCCGAGGCATTCCATACTAGGAGGAACCGTTCTTCCAGTCCTTCCAGGTTTTCCATTTTGGTCTAGCTTCAATTGAATTATGAATTCAATAATTAAATTACAATATGAATAATTCATATTAGTTAACTGTATTGACTAAGTGTAATATTACAATTTTTGATAGTAATATAATTCCTTGAATGGAAGATTTATTTGTTATTCCGGAAAATGATATTAACGCTGATTTGAGATAGAAATATGATTTGAGAACTATTTTCATAAGTGTCGAATCAATTTGTATGGATAACTTTATTTACGTCTCCTTATCGGATATTATACTGTAGTAAACGAGAACACCAGTGAAGCCAACCAAATTTATTTGAGTACAGAATTACAGAATCTCTCAGTAAATTCTAAGAGCCATACAATAAATTCTTCATTTGCAAAATATTGATCAATTGTTTCAGAATTGACTGTTCCTTCATTTCCACATCAATCAATTTCTGTTCTTGTTCTCTTCTCTTTGATGTTCTTAACTTTTTGCCACCAGGCATTTCACATTCGATTGATGATAAATATTATTTTCATCTGTCGACATAAGTAGTACACACCTCAATAGTAATTCTCCGACAGACCAAGTCTTCTTGATTCAGAATCTGAACATTTTCCCAATCGAACTCATAAATATAGTAAGATGATGATTGGAGATAATCGATAGGAGACGCTGCTTGACCTAGATTTTTTTGTGATATTTCGGTACTTGTTAATAATAGGTATTTGTAATCTTCACAAGACTGATATTCTCTGGTTAATTTGATCCAGTGTCACCCTGCTTTACAGTAAGAGAAGCAACCACTTAGATATCCGGGCTGCGATTTACCTTCTGTAAGACTGGGATATTTTTCTGGTCAGCGTTTTTTTAGCGAGTTAGTTTCCTACGGGATGGAGACGCTAACCCCACGCCCAACCCTCCTCCTTTATCCGGGCTTGGGACCGGCAGTAGCCCCAGGAGGGACTAAGGAGGAGGCGCGGATCGGCAAAGCAAGAGCAGCATATTTACAACTGAGAAACGTCTGGAATTCAAAGCAACTGTCAACCAACACCAAGGTCAGGATTTTCAATACAAATATCAAGACAGTTCTACTGTATGGGGTGGAAACCTGGAAAACTACGAAAGTCATCATCCAGAAAATACAGGTGTTTATTAACAGTTGTCTACGCAAATTACTTCAGATCCGTTGGCCGGACACAATTAACAACAACGTACTGTGGGAGAGAACAAACCAGATCCCAGCAGAGGAAGAAATCAGGAAGAAGCGCTGGAAGTGGATAGGACACAAATTGAGGAAAGCACCCAACTGCGTCACAAGGCAAGCCGTCACATGGAATCCTCAAGGCCAAAGGAGGAGAGGAAGACCAAAGAATACATTACGCCGGGAAATGGAAATAGACATAAGAAAAATGAACAAGAATTGGATGGAACTAGAAAAGGAGGCCCAGTACAGAGTGGGTTGGAGAATGCTGGTCGGCGACCTATGCTCCATTAGAAGTAACAGGCGTAAGTAAGTAAGTAAGACTGAGATATAACCGTTCTCAGACACTGATATAAATGATAACATATCTTTTCGTTTGACTGCTAATCTCTTTGTTTATCCATAAGTGAGAAAACTATCATCTCATCATTTCTGAAGTAGTGATTCTCACAGATGATGCAATACTTATTCGTAGGTAATGCTGGATTTATCTCCATAGATGTTCTTCCCTTCAGTATACATAATATACAAATGAATAGTCTTGAACAGTGGTGACTCTGATCTAGTAACTCATGGAGATAAGGTATATAAGTTACATGGTTAGAGGTTAACCAAAACTAAACAGTTAATGTGAACCCAGAAGCATATGAAATCTACAAAGATAATGAACCACAAATAAGGTTATTAAAATAGTTTAATCGAATGTTTGTGTAATAACTTGAAGCAGTTGATAATATTGTTGTCCAGAATGACAATGAAAGTCTAACAATTTAATCATTGAATTCTGAGAACTAAATACTGCCAAAATTTCAGTGTTGTATTCATAACAATCCCGTTAACTAACATAAATTATTATTCAAGTAGATGATCGTTTCTTCAATACTTTCTTAAACTCATTGATGTTAAATTCACTTGGTATTGTTTGGCTTGTATCTTCCCATTGAGGTCTAAGACTGCAATTGATCAGTCTGTTATTGGCATATGTGCATACTGTGCGTATGCCTCGATATTGCCTTAATTCACAAGCTTTTTGTAGGCAATGATCGATAGTGGTTAGCAGTGGAATCAAGGACGCGCGTTTCATCCTATTTGGGACATGTCAGCTGGACGTACTTGTATCTCAGAGTTGATGTTCACCCTGGGACTTGAACCCAGTACCATTCGCTTCAAACGCCATCGCGTTATCCACTCAGCTACTGAGTCCTGATAGCCACTTACTTGTGCAATAGGGTGAAGTTTAAATTCACCTGGTATTGTTTGTCTTGTATCTTCCCATTGAGGTTTAAGACTGCAATTGATTAGTCATAAAAATGAAATTTTTGACATTAGAAATTTAAAGTTGAAACTAATTGAAGGACTTTGCTTTCTAATTTTATCTGGAAGATTTCAAGTTATTTAGGTTGTTCTAAATAAGTATTAGTTCTTGCAATGATAATATCGAGTATAATCTTTCTAGAATTCGAATCATGTTTGCATGAACTTTGCTACTATGAATATAGGGTTTTGGAGATTGTTGAGTTTCACTGAATTTATGAACCAATCAATACTAGACCACAACTCAAAACCTGGAAGAAATAGATAACTATTTCCTCACAATATGAAACTCTCCAGAAGTGTGTGTCTATGACCCTAAAACGTTGCAATCGAACACAGGACCTTCGGTATGGTGCACGAAAACTTAAACTCTAGACTACTGAACTGAGATCCAATGGTATTAATATCTAACTTTAATCAATTCACGATATTGAGCGAACATCTTCTATTGTTCTCGGTGGGTAACTGTTATATTCGAACAAAGAATAAAGGAATGGTAACTGGTAGGAATTATTGACGAACTCTGGTTACATATATTCTTATTGTATAATTATTTAGTAACTGTACTATATTAATATTTTTATTTAGCATAAGCCTTAATTTGACCTATTGACTACTATTCTATAATTTACTATTCTTACGTTATTCCCAATTTATTAGTCACATTCTCTCACACTCACAGCCACTTTTTGGCTCGATCTTGTATAATTGTTATTTTTCATTTTGTGGTGCGATATGGTCTGATTTGCCTGCATATAAGCCAAGTATGTCTGAATTACATTACACATACGATGGAGGCTGAGATTGTGTTCTGGACCGAACGAGTTGGGTTAAGCGAGAGGTTGCTATACAAAGGAACATTAAGGACTGAGAGTTGACTCACGGCTGCTCGAGCTGGTTAACGCATCATTGGTTTAGCACAGGGACAAGGTGATAGAAGTCGATATTCGGATTGACGATGTTGTCACTTGGTAATTGACAGGACCATAAATCATAACAAAGTGCCTCTGTTGATCATGGCCTCTCCTAGAACTCTGAAAATTCCCTCTCAAAGTTAGCCATGAGTGCTTGCAAATTTACTTTTGCTAATTTTATAATACATCTCAAAGTGCCACCCTGGTGACTTCTACTTTTTATCATTCTACTGTGTAATACCTTGCTTCATATTATTAAATATAAATCCCTTCTCTCTATTCTTGCGTTGATTTTGTTGGCCTTACTCATTTTACTGTATTAATCTTTCCAACTTTATAGTTGATATGATGTAACGATAACATCAAATCTCAAATATGTCCCCCTGTGATTTCAAATTGTTTTCTAGAATTTTCGCGTTTGGTAACACACAACATGTTACCCGCACATGATGCATATGTGTCAAAAAAGACTGATCAGTTGTAGGTCTAAACGTCAACAGGAAAATTCAAACAACCAGTACAAATAAACTGAATCCATCTTATTTCGCTACGTTTGTGGTTCTTACTTTAAGTCAAACTTAGGAACGGCGAAACGTTGTGTATAATTAAATTATGTTAGTTTCAGTTGTTTCAGACATTCAACAAAATGATGTAAAGAAAATGAAGTCAGGTGAGTTTGTTCAGAAAAAATTTGTATGAAAAAAATACTTTTTATTAGATCACCGCGAAACAATGTAATTGATCATCAAGTCGACCTAGTGTTGTTAGTTATTTCATTATTGACTTTAACTACTTATAAGTAGTCAATGTTTTATCGCAAAACCATTTTAAAAGTTTTCGTTTACTTGAGTTAAATTATCGTCAAAACAAAACATGAGGAGGAAATCTTAACAAGAAGCATTTGACATAAAACTAGGAATTGTCATCTCCATTAATCTTCAGCTTTGTTTAGTTAATTAAGCTATCTGATGTACGAAAACAATGAGAGATCCCTATAGAGTATTTCAACGAACAGGACTCTACAATTATTATACATTTAGAACTATTGTATCATATCACCATAGGACTGTGGAGATTGTTGAGTTTTAATTGAGATTATGAATCTGTCAATGTTAAGCCACGATTGAAAGCCATTAAGCCCTGGTCCAGTGGTTTAGGGGTTACGTGTTTGAAAGCGAGATTAAATATCCAGGGCTCCAGTACCGCGTGAGGGATCGTGGATGCGCACTGGTGAGTAGTCCCATATTGGGACAAAACGGCCGTTCAGTGCTTTCAGGTTTTTGATGGTGGTCTAACATTGATCGGTCCATAATCTTAATATTTTATTATATGATGGACAAAATAAGTCATACGTGAAAGATAGTGATTTGGACAATGTTATATGGTAAAATCGTAAACTGTTGTATCAATTACAACGTAAATATGTCCAAAATATGTCAGTTTTAAGGTCACTTAAAATGTGACAGAATAATTGAGGTAGAATATATGTTTGTTTTCTAGTGTTCAACGTGTGTGCAACCAATCACGAACTGATCTTAGCTGGACCATACATGAGAGATCGAAGGCCCTAGGTTTAAGTCATAGGTGTGAGGTTGTGGATACCAACTGCTGAGGACTGCCATAGTGGAACGAAACAGTAATACAGTGCTTACCATCTCTAATAGTAGTCTAGTTAAGATCAGACCGTGAGCTAAACTGTGACAAAAAAAATTCTATTTAGTTTGACAACGTAAAACATTGACAACAATATAAATGTTTTTTTTGAGAAATCGACAAACCGTTTCAATATTTAGCTTCCTATTATTATCTTCCTACAATTACTTACACTTTTCACAGTACCGAAATTGCGTATTATACTACTCGCTCCAGCCGTACGTCTCCAATAGATAAATGGTGGTGGGATACCATCTGCATTACAGTGCAATGAAACTGGGTCACCAGAATCTGCATCTGTATCATAAGATGACATATGTCGAACGATGTTTGGTTTTGCTGCAAAATAAATTAATAAAATGACGTAGATTACTGGTTAAATCACAATTTTAATTGTGTTCTTGTCAGCTAACCTATGATATGTAGATATCAATTTGGAAAACATTCAAAGCTTTAGTATTTATTACAAAATCGGTTCAAGAACTTTAATCAACCGACCAAATGCCTGAATAACTATTCCAAATTCATAAGACTAGATTTTCTGAAAGTATAGTACTATTATAAGAAGATATAAAAACAAGCAGTATGCAAAACTCAGAGCATAAATTATTCAGGTCAGTCAGTCAGTCAGTAACAACGTAGAACTTCGTACGTACGTACATCAGTTCGAGTTGCCACAGCACATTTGCACAGAGATGCAGTGGTCGATTCAAATCCCTTAGTGCTAGACGTAGTAAAATTATAAGCTGTATTCAGAAAAATTAGGGTTTGAAGATGTTATTCAAGTAGTATAATACAGTGAAATAAATTTGGAAAGAGAAAAAAGAAAAGGACATGAAGAATTCAGAAGATTAGAATTTGGGAGAACACAAAGAGTGGATGCACCTGCGCCATTGCAAACGATTTTGAGCCATGTCATTCAGGGTCTCTAAGCATCGGTTGCTATCGTCTCGCGATCTCAACCAGTTAGTCTACACCTACCAATATGACTCAGTCCACTTGTCAGTGACTTCATAAACTTGTGCCATGTTGTGCCATGCTGGTCTGGCCGCCCCTAGCTTTCTTCCAATCTACTCCTATAAAACAAAACATCGCACATCGAGGCAGTCGGTCGTTGAGCATACGTAACACACGTCCCAGCCATCTCAACTGATGAAGTTTCACCACGTCATCAATTGATTTGCCATCCTTACCTAGTACCCGTTTCCTAACAACTGCGTTACTTACTCGATGGTCCCAGGATATACGAGCAATATTTCGAAGGCACCTATGATCAAATACTAGTAACCTACGAATATCCTCTACTCTTACCACCCATGTTTAACTGCCATAAAGTAGGACGGAACGAACTGCTGCACAGTAAACACGTCCTTTGGTTGATAGACGGATATTTCGCCTATGCCATAAATGACACGAGTTGGTAAAAGCTAGTCGAGCCTTCTGTATCCGTGCTGAGATTTCGTCACACACCAGACCACAAGGGCTGATGAGACTTTCAAGATAAGTGAAGCGGTCGACACGCTCAACTCATTCACTCCCTATCATTAGTTCGGGTGTCAATGCAACACAATCCTGAAGCAACATTTTGCATTTCGAGGGGAAGAATCACATCACGAACATGCTTGCATTGTTGCTTAGAGTAGTCAAAAGACTTTGCATTTTGTCATCGTCTTCACCAAATAAAACTATGTCATCGGCATATTCTAAGTCAACAAGTGAACCTCCTGGTAGAAGTTCAACCCCTGGAAATTTAGATGAGGAAAGTGTCATCTCTAAAAGTACGTCAATGACAAAGTTGAACAAGAAAGGAGAGAGTGGACAGCCCTGACGAACACCACTTGAGGTAATCAATTCTGATGACAGTTCACCATAAGCTCTCACTCGACCAGTTGTGTTCGAGTAGAGAGCCGGTATAAGGTTAATGTACTTCTTTGGTACTAATTTCAGTGACAAACACTGCCATAGAACCTTACGATCAACAGAGTCGAATGCCGCCTTAAGGTCGAGAAATACTACCATTGTGAGGCGTCTAAACGTGTGTCTGTGTTCTAGAACCTGACGTAGTGTGAATATCTGGTCTATACACATCCAGGTCGAAAACCGGCCTGATTTTCTCTAGTTTATTCTTCACGAGCTTTGGTTAGGCGTCGAAGTATTATTGAAGCTAATATTTTAGACACTATATTAGTCAAACTGATTCCTATGTGATTGTCACAAGAGGACTTTTGTCCTTTCTTAAAAACTCGCACAATCAGTGATTGAGACCAGTCAGATGGGATTACGTCCAGTTCTTAAATTCTACCTAAGACCTCAGTTAGTCGCACTGCTAATATTGAACCACCATCCTTGAAAATCTCAGGAGTAAACCTATCAAGGCCTGCTGCTCTCCCTCGCTTCAGATTTCCTATGGCTTTTTCAACTTCGTAAAGAGACGGAGGACCTACATTAACTTGCCATTCAGGTTGACTGGAGATCGTGGGAAACCGAAGTGTGGCAGAAAGCCAGTTGAAGTGATTCCTTAAGTGTTCTGCCCATCGATCTAATCTCCTCGATTGAGAATGTATAATATGTCCATCTTTTTCTGAGAGTGTTGCGCTAACAGTCGGTATCCTAATACCGGTTTCCTTAACAAGTCTGAACAATTGTCTGCTATTATCTATTACCGCTGCCTTTTCCATCTCTCTTGTTTTTGCTACCCACCACTGTTCACGATCATTGCGTAGACTTCTTGTCAGCTTGCGTTTAAGCTGACTCCGCTCTTCATTATGTTCAGAGCCAGGTTTCCGAGTTTCCGAGCATCTATCAGTGCGATAGATGCTGCTGAGATCCAGTGTTGCTCCCTAACCTTACGGGTTACCGTACTAGCAGATATCACTGCTGTTTCCACAGCTTTTCGGATATCATTCCATGCTACCTCGGGGTAGGCATCACATACATGGCTGCCTAACTGTTTTTCTAGTTGTTCCTAAAATATACTCTAAGCTTGACTATCATTAAGTAGGCTTCTAAGAGTTTTCCTTGCAGCGACTTTTACATTACCTACAAAACAGTCAAAAAGAACGCATGTTCTCAAGTTAGATGAATAATACAACTATCATAGCACACATTTTAATTCGGCAAACGCTACAGGGTTGTGTCAAGGGGAAAAATTTAGATAAACGTTTACGAAAATAAGGTTTGGTGGAAGTCAGTGACCTTAACTAATCATCAGACATCCAGTCATAAGTAAAATAGAACCAAGCAAATTACTGTGTCATTTTATGTCGCTATGCTATATCAACACAGCTAGATTGAATTACCAAGAAAAAAACAGAGTTGCAGAAGTAGTTGCGCCATAGGTGGTAACAGAAAGGATTAGGCATAGGTAATATGACCCAAGAATAAAAAATTAATTGATGGAATAAAACGTATCACATAACTTTAAAACTCAAGATTTTAAAGAAGACAAGGAGTAAATACATCTGCACTATCTCCACTGAATCGGATCAATGTCACCCATCTCCAACCATTGCTTACGATGATTGCATGGATCTTAAACAAATAGTCTAAACCAACCAGCACGGCTCAGTATGACAGTAGATGACTTTATGACTGATGTAACTTATCAGCATGGGTTCGTCTAGCATTCTTCTAGTCCGCTTTACCAATAAACATCACGCGCTGAAGCTGTTGATAGTTGATGAAGGCTCACATCCTAATTAATCGACTTTTTATTTTCACCTAGTGTCTAGACTCAATACTGATGACCTATTTGTCCGAAAATAAGCAAGCAATACTTTGAAAACACCTATTATCATATGCAAACAAGCTACAAATGTAATCTGTATTTGAAGGTCATAACTTACGGTCATAATTTGAAACAAATAGACTTTTGTTCAGTGTACTCCCTCTTTTTTTAAACTCAACATCTCTCATTCCCAAAATATGATGTATATATGCAAATGTCGAACGAGCTTACTGTATTAATAATGAGATTTCATCAGACACTAACCCATAATACTTAAGAAGACATACAAAACAAGTAAAGTGACTTGAGTTTACAGACCAGTCATGAAACAGTACTTTTCAATTGGAGAGATACTTATTTTATACATAATTATTTTGTCACTCAGTGTGTTTGGGAGACCTTATTATGTAAGAGTTTCCTTTAAACAACACTACGTCATCTGTGTATTCAGGTTTTACAAGTAAATCCCTTGGTAGAAGGTCAATCTTTTAAAAGTATATGTATATACATATATATAATACATCTTTGAAGGAGTTTAACAGAAATAAGAAGAGTGAACAATCCTGATTTAGTATTACTGATCATGACCATAACCACTAACTCCACCAGTGCAGTTTGAGTAAACAGCTTTCAAAGGATTAACGCACCACTTTGATATCCCTTACCATATAAAAAAAGGTTTTTTTAATGCTTAGCACTTTATGATACGAATCTTGCGTATTTATTTGACAAGTAATGCATTTATGCAGGCATATATGTATGACCAACTTACCAAACACACGTAGAATTCTATGAACTCTTGCCGGTTCCACAGACCCAGTGTATTGACATTCACACGTATATTTACCTTCATATGATTTGTCCAAAGACATGATTTCTAAACTTGAAATATATACATTTAAGGTATCAAACGTATATCTATATATCAAGGGTTTTTGAACATTTTTTAGTGTTTTAACGTCAATTTTTATCAGAGATTATGGCCAGCTAGAAAATAATATTGAGTTAGACAGTTGCTCATAGATAATATTATATAGTGATAGCTCTAAGTTGATAAACGACTGAAATTTTAAATTTTAATCCAAAGGTTTAAATGAACAATGCTTATCAAGAGATTTGAAATTTACCGGTTTGATTAGATCGTGAAGTTGTGAGTTACAATCTGCTGAATAATCATACTTAAGGAGTAGATATGCAGATCTCTTTTGTTTTCAAAGTTTCTCCTACTGATATCGGTTTGTGAAGGAAAATAACTGCAGAGAAATATATTATGAAAAAAAAACCTCAATACAGTTCTTCCTCTTTATGGAAGATATTTTCGTATGAATAGTTGGTATTATCTTGCACAGCAACTTCGAGTAATAAAAACTAAAGTAGATAGACACCAATTAGGTGAGTACTTTGGTACGCATTGATTATGTAACAAAAGGTATAGTTAGTAAAAAAAAACAAGCGATAACAGAAAGCGTAAAACAAACTTTTCTGTAAATAATTGCGACGCCCTACGACCAGGCTTAATGTAAATAAAATCGAATAGTGTCACAAACTTTTAAACTTGCGTGTGCAGTAGATAGTAAACATATATCTTAAACCATGTCTGCGTTTCTCACTGCAAAAGATTGTTAGATGATAAAGTAGAAGCATGGAAACTACAAGTATTTTAGCTCCAAATTTTATTTTCAAAAACAAATAACCTTTTCGACTGAACTATTATGCACTACTTATGCACCAAAGTTTGAGAGATATCCGTCTACCAAGCATTTGAATTCCGTTTCGTTAATAAAGTGCAAACGAATAACATTTAATTCTACTGGTCAAGTACATAAACACTGTATAACCCAAAGAATTCCGTAATATAACAGAACTCTCGACGTAAAAATGATATACTGTCAGATTTCCAAAAAGTTTAGTTCCAGTACTTCAAATGCTATTTCTTAGTCTGACAGGATTTTTCATCAGTTTGTTCAACAACAAAATATGAACATGTATTTCTTATTTGTGTAACTAGATGAATAAAAGGTATTAAAAGTTATCAGTATTTAAACAATTCAGTACAATAAAATATAATATTATGATGGTCAGTTATCTATTATCAATTTACAGTATGACACTCTTATGAGTAACGACAAAACAATTTAGAATGTAGGCAATCACAAGACCGTGCCAGAAAACTAATATCTAAGATACGAAGTGAAAGAACACTCAGGCCCTTATTCCCACCTCGAGTTGTAGTTAGGCATTAGGAACTGGATGACACTGTTGAAAAACCTGAAAGTAACACCATTTAATAATCCAAACATATATCAGCCATATAAATGTAGGATTTGCGTTCATAAATTCAAACTAACCGAACAGAGTCTTGCTGCTTTCCTTGGCCAATTTCCCACCTAGACATATCACGGGACATGAGACCATCGTTTATTACTTCCGAAACTTCATCCCCCGATAAGCTGTCTCTCCGCCAAAATATCTATACATATGAATGAAAAATGCTCTGTATATGTAGTAATACCCTAGCTCCACGAGGCATATTAAAGACGTTACACTGTATAATAACTTTTTCTCCTACTAAACCGTTTATTAAAACAGTTTTATTCTCAAGATAAACAACTCTGCCAGTGTGTGCATCTGGTGTTTCGTCATAAATCGACACTTCCGGCGTAACAACCTGCTCACAAGGCACTAAAAAGAAATAAATTTAAAAAACACAAACCATATGGAACGAGAAAGACAATTAGGACGATTATTATGTAGAAATAACTACAATGGTAAACCGGAAACGATGAAAAGTCGTCTGACACATTTGTTGAAGCAAACCTTGTGATGAAAACAAACTTTTTTCTCATTTGTACAAAGTAGAAGACGACTAAGCACGGTATTTTCTCTAAACAAGTCTAACTAAAAACTCCAGGCTCATTCGTATTGGTAGTAATAAAAAGGTAAGCAATATTATTTTGACTAGTGTATAAAAACAAATTTCATTTATTCAACAATTTCTCATAAATGAACTTGCGCATATCGACCAGCTTTTTTTTACATCTCTCTTGATTTAATATTTTTACAGACATTTTTCATATTCAATGAGTCGTATTCTAGTCACTGGACTGCACTAATTCTAACCAGTTTGGCAGGTATTTAAGGTTCCATGTAATTCGAGTGAGTACGTTTGTCTCAAGGCAGTATGGTTTATGGATACCAGAAGATATCAAATTACCAGACAGGAGGTTTATTGGTTGCAATGTGGAAACATAAAGTGATTATTTGACTGCAAAGAGGAGACGATTGTTTCAAGAATAAATATGTATTTGGCCTAGTTGGCAATGTATAAGAAGATAGAATAGGAAGAGTAAGAAGAGGTTACTTAAATTATGAGCGCCTGTCACAAATTTTAAGTCATCTTGATTTTAATAGTAAATGAAAAGAAATGTCATAGGTCCTCAAAGACACATCATAGATAATTCATCGAACTATATATATCAAAATGTCTCTGCTAAGCTAGAGACGCTCAGCAGTGTCGTAGAGGAAAATAGTTACTGAGTTATAATTAGTCTCATGAAGTAACATACTGCAGCCAAATAGATAAGGAAGGCATGAATATCACGAGTGTATTTAGTGTTGATAAGTTTTATATCAAAGGAAGTGATAAACCACAAATAAATACACTGTCACTACCTGAAACATAAAGGCTAAGTTACTCAGACATTTTTCTGGTTTCAGACTTCAGTCTTATTCTAAACGACAAGAAACCGTTACCCATAGAACACTCCCGGTTGTCGGCCTGATCTACAATAACTGACTACGAAATAAAAATTTCTCCAAACTATCCTTCAGATCAATTATAACACTTAGCTCCTACGAGCTGGTTATGAAGGTGGCGGAAACTCGAGATGATTAGGATCAGAAAGCAATGAAAAGTCTAAATTCATTATTATAAAGGAATGATCCTTATCAAATAAAATATTTTGACTACGTATGGAAAAGTGCTAGGCGAATACGAATATCCATAAAATAACTTCAGTGAATTCCAAAGTGCCTATTAGTCTAAATCTTTACGGCTAGCACTGTAAACAGCATATGCATAACTTCATCTCTAGTGGCCAACCCAGACTAGTCGTTCCATCGATAAACCTATTAAAATTCAAGTTTAGCGTTGAAACTGAACCCCATACATAGCATTATAGCAAATATCTATCATTTAATCACAGACGTCGATTCCTTCTGTCATTAATATTAAGTTCCGCACATTTTCGATACAAGAATTTTATTTTGTTGTGAATATTATATATTGTTTTGCGTTCTCGACAGATGTTCATGGATATCCATTTTAACTTCTATAAGGACTCGGTTCAAGTTTATGGAACACCAGCCCTCGAGAGATTGAACATCGAAGAAAAAAACTCAGATACACTCCCACATTTTCTCATTAGAAACTTCCTCTGTCTGTGATTCTCACCAACCCTAAGTGACTTAAGCCATTTAGCTGCGAGAGGAGTCTTAGAAAACACTTCCTCACCAACGGTTTGTCGCCCCAATCTCGAACCAGCTGTGTATGATGCCTTTCTCTTAGTTAACCACGTCTATCAGAATCACGTAGCAGCACCCACTTCCCATCTCCTTATCATCTCCATTTTTCCTCTTAATCTCACCATTACGTCTCCTTACACATTACCAACTAGGCAAACTACTTAAAGATGCCACAAGTATTCGGAGTTTAACAACTCCCCTTCCAGTAACATCATTTTAATATAAGTGTGCCAACCCGCTTAAATTAAAGTCAGAAATGAGGGAGGTCGAAAACATATTCAGGAGTCTATCGTTATGTCAAGCAATGTTTGGTCTAAGCTGGCTAATGGTTGAAGAGGATGTGCATCACAGTATACCCATTCGTGATACTATGTTGACGTGTGACGGAGCGACCTCAGCTATGCAACAAAGTCAGCCAGTTATTTCAAAGATTCATTTACCTCTATATACTTATCTATTTTGAAACAATCGTCTCCTCTTTGCAGTCAAATAATCACTTTATGTTTCCACATTGCAACCAATAAACCTCCTGTCTGGTAATTTGATATCTTCTGGTATCCATAAACCATACTGCCTTGAGACAAACGTACTCACTCGAATTACATGGAACCTTAAATACCTGCCAAACTGGTTAGAATTAGTGCAGTCCAGTGACTAGAATACGACTCATTGAATATGAAAAATGTCTGTAAAAATATTAAATCAAGAGAGATGTAAAAGGAAGCTGGTCTATATACATAAGACTGTGAATGGAAGCTGTTAAAACGTATGAAACACTTCTAGGACTTATTCTTGTTGATAAGTCACTCATCATTTAAGCGTGAGTACCAATAATTCTAGAATATTTGTAAGAAAACCATAGCTAAATCCCGTACTACTTACGAACGACTGAGGGTATATGATAGCCGTACTTGACCAAAACGATTGTTTTCGTATATTATGCGGCAAATGAAATGTAGTGATGGTATTCCCCCCCCCTTACTGTTACACGAAAATTCAGAATTACTAGCTGAATCAGATAGAGCAAAAGCTGGGAATTTTTCCAACTATTTTAGCGAAGTCTACTCTACGTTTATTGTAACAAATACTTGTCACGCTCATACCGAGATACCACCCATTGAATCTGTACAGATAACTGAGGAAACTGTCCTTCCGTTTATAAATAACCTCAAACGTTGTAGGATACCGGACTCAGACGAGTTACATCATCGGCTGCTGTCATCGCTTGCGGACTGCCGGGCTGTCAGTCTAACTAGCATTGTCGTTGAGTTACTTGAAAAGATAATTCGGGTTAGGTTGCTAAGCCACATAGATTCACAAAATCTGTTAGCTCCTAAGCAACATAAATTTCGTAACAAGCGTTCATGCTTGACTAACATGCTCATTGCAAGAGAAGATTGGACAGCAGCATAAGATAAACGTCCGTTTGTCGATTTGATATTCATAGATTTTAGCAAACCATTTGACAAGGTTTCACACTTATGTCTTATGCAGAAGCTCACGAGCTTCGATATAATAGGTACTGTACAGGAGTGGATATGAAACTTCTTATGTGACCACGGACAGAGAGTTAGGGTCAGCGGAACGCTAACCGATTGGAAGCCAGTCAAAAGTGGTGTACCTCAAGGCATCATCTTAAACCCTCTACTCTTCCTTCTGTACGTTATTGAGTTACCCGTGTTGCTCCGGTCGTCGACATTATTGTTTGAGGATGACGTAAAAATCTTGCTTACATACTTACGCCTGTTACTCCTAATAAAGCATAGGCCGCCGACCAGCATTCTCCAACCTGCTCTGTACTGGGCCTTCTTTTCTAGTTCCACCCAATTCCTGTTCATTTTTCTCATGTCTATCTCCATTTCCCGTAATGTGTTCTTTGATCTTCCTCGCCTCCTTTGGCCTTGAGGATTCCATGTAAGGGCTTGTCTTGTGACGCAGTTTGGTGCTTTCCTCAATGTGTGTCCTATCCAGTGTCCTTCCAGCGCTTCTTCCTGATTTCTTCCTCCGCTGGGATCTGGTTTGTTCTCTCCCACAGTACGTTGTTGCTAATAGTGTCCGGCCAACGGATCTGAAGTATTTTGCGTAGACAACTGTTAATAAACACTTGTATTTTCTGGATGATTGCATTCGTAGTTCTCCAGGTTTCCGCCCCATACAGTAGATCTGTGTTGACATCGATATTGAGAATTGTGACTTTGGTGTTGGTTGACAGTTGCTTTGAGTTCCAGACGTTCCTCAGTTGTAAATATGCTGCTCTTGCTTTGCCAATCCGCGCCTTCACATCTGCATCAGATCCACCATGTTCATCAATGATTCTGACCAGATATGTGAAGGTTTTTACATCTTCAAAATCTTCTCCGTCAATTGTGATTGGATTGGCGCATGCTGTGTTGTATCGGAGAACCTTGCTCTTCCTTTTGTGTATTTTGAGACCTATTGCTGCTGAGGCTGCTGCTACACTGGTCGTCTTCTCCTGCATTTGTTGTTGCGTTTGGGATAGAAGGGCAATGCCTAACGCTCCTGCTTTGTCCCGGCTTGGGATCGGCGGTAGCTTCTGGAGGGACTCCAGGCGGAGTTGACGTAAAAATCTGGATAACAATAAAAAGTGAGGTTGATCATCTGGATCTTCATGCTGACTTGGACCACTTAGTTAGACGGGCTCGAGGTTGGGGCTTATAATTCAATTCTAGGAAGAGTGTGCTAATGCCCATCGGTCATGGTAATAGTTACCAATATACTATTGATGGTAAACTTCTTCCATGTGATGATGATACAGGTATTCAGTGTTTGACAACGCTTCTACCAGTAACACCTTCTAATATGCTCTGTTCCCACCGAGAGAAATCAAAAGACAGAGTCGAGGAGATCGGAAGAGTGTATTTGGCGATAACCAATATATCGGGAATCTCTGGTCTAATCTGGCTAGTGATTGCGATTGTTGTTGAGCACAGCGTGACAGCACGTGATCTGGTGCGGATGCATGACCGAGCGCCTTCAGCTAGATGAGTCCACTAAAACATATGGTCAGCATCCAATGTCGAAAACCTATTGAGCTATTTAGTTTGGGGATTTATTTACCGCTACAGATCACTCCCCCCCCTAGTGGGGCAGTGATGACCCTAAGACGTGGCCAGCCAGAAGTTTAAACCCAACGAGTTTGTCGTTGGTAAACACTCTTCTGATAGCTTACTAAATTTAGCAGCGTCTGGTCGTCTTTCCTTACTATATGGGACCGGGGTACAACATAGTAAAAAAAGAAATGTACAATGAAAGTTTCGTATCCTCATAAACGTCATCGTTCTTTTCCAGCCGTCCTGGAAAAGAAGAAAGAAAATATAAGTGCATGTCGAAAATACACTCGTATGTGCGTAAAAAAGGGAAAATAATCTCATGAAACGTAACAGCGTTAAAAAAATCGTTTTTTTTGTTGCTTTTGTTTTTAAAAATAGAAATGAAAATATATAAGCCTATTTAAAAAAAAATTATTTTTTAATAATATAGAAAATGTCGAGAAGTGCCTTACGTGCAATAGTCATTTAAATGTTCTGGAAATCTCACTCTTCTTCCAGAACGCGTCGTTTTAAGTTTATTTTCGGATACTGTCGAAGTATCATCATGAGTGTTGGTTGTCGGATGAGGTATTATAAGTGTCGGAGTCGTGTCGTTCAATTGTACTGAAGGAAAATCCACGTAGATAGGATTTCCTTCTAAATAAGCTGCTTTGAGGCGATCGATGCTGATGCTATCATTGGTTCCGTTCTTATCGATTATATAGTACTTCGGTTCGCGTTGAAGAACTTTGAAAGGTCCTTCGTATGCCGATTCGAAAGGTCGTCGATGCGAGTCTCGACGAAAAAAAACGTGTGTACTATATCGTAAGTCAGGTTGAATGAAAACATCAGTTGATTGAGGTCGAGTGGAAGCAGGTTTAACTGAACGCATTGCGTTTGTAAGCCTGTTCGTGTAGGAGGTTAGATCCATGCTCATTTAAGAGGATGAAGGATCCACGAATTCTCCTGGAAGTCGAAGTGTCGTTCCATAAACGAGTTGAGCCGCAGTGTATCCAATGTCAGCTTTCACTGCATTGCGGATACCTAGTAAGACGAGTGGAAGAGCGTCGGTCCACTGTGAAACGTTTGCAGCTGATAGTGAAGCTTTTAGTTGTCGGTGAAAGCGTTCTACCAACCCGTTTGCTTGTGGGTGGTAGGCGGTCGTTCGGAAGCGAGTGCTTCCTAATAGTGCAGTCAGACGACGGAAAAGTTCAGACTCAAACTGACGTCCGCGGTCTGTAGTGATGGTTGAAGGGCAACCGAAGTTTGCTACCCATCGTTCGACGAAGGTTCGGGCCACTGTTTCAGCAGTGATGTCCTTGATAGGTACTGCTTCTGGCCATCGAGTGAAACGATCTACACAGGTCAAGAGGTAAGAGTATCCATTTGAATCTGGTAAAGGTCCTACCAAATCCAGATGAACATGGTCGAAACGAGCATCGGGAGTTTTAAATGAGCCTAAGGGACATTTATTGTGTCTGATGACCTTAGATTTTTGGCAGCTTACACAGGAGCGTGCCCACTCCCTCACGTCTTTATTCATACCAGGCCAGCAAAAGCGTTCTGCTATGAGCTTGATGGTTGCACGAACACCTGGACGAGAAAGTTTGTGCAATGTGTTGAAGACATTGCGTCGATAATGTTTCGGGACGATTGGGCGATCCCTTCCTGTAGATGTGTCACAAAGTAAGGTTTCCTTACCTGTTCCCATCTGTTTGATGCGTAGTTTAAGGGTTGTGGACGATAACTCTTGCTGAAGATCAGTGTCTTCTTTTTGAAGCTGGGCGAGTTTAAGAAGGTCGATTCCTTGGAAACTGTTCAAGGAATTTATTCGAGACAAGGCGTCTGCAACTACATTGTTTGCTCCAGAAATATGTTGAATATCTGAAGTAAACTGCGAAATGTAGTCCAGTTGTCGAGACGCACGGGGAGAGTACTTGTCAGAAGGAGAGCTTAACGAGAAAGTGAGCGGTTTATGGTCAGTGAATAGAGTGAATTCGCGGCCTTCGATATAGTGTTGAAAATGCCGTACAGCACAATACATAGCTAGGAGTTCCCTACCGAATGTGCTGTATCTCGATTCGGTGTCTAGCAACCGTCTAGAGAAAAATGCCAAGGGTTGCCAGGAGTTGTTAATCCATTGTTGTAAGACTCCCCCGATTGCCGAGTCGGATGCGTCTACTGCGATACTAATGGGTGCTTCAGTGTCCTGATGTGCGAGCATTGTTGCTTTAGCGATCAGTTCCTTAACTGTGGAGAATGCTTTTCGTGCGGTGTCGTCCAAATTAATGGATTTCGCATTTCCACGAAGTTTGTCAGTAAGAGGTTTCATAAGTAATGCGCATTTCGGTATGAAGCGTCTATAGAAACTTACCAGGCCGTTAAACGTGCGTAATTGCTTGACGTTGGTCGGTTCTGGGTAATCCAGAATGGCCGCCACTTTGGTCCTAAGAGGTCGAATGCCTTGAGCATCGATAGTGTGTCCTAGGAAATCTAACGAATCGGTTCCGAATTGGCATTTCTGAACGTTTACAGTAATGCCATGTTTTTGTAATCGTTCGAAAACAAGATCCAGATGCTTGAGATGTGATTCTCTGTCCGGACTTGCGATTAAGCAGTCATCAACATACGCATGTACGAAGTTGAGACCTCGAAAGACGTCGTCTGTGAATCTTTGGAAAGTTTGCGCAGCGTTTCTTAGACCGAACAGCATTCGCAAAAATTCATAGAGTCCGAAAGGAGTTATGATAGCTGTTTTCGGTATGTCGTTAGTAGCCATAGGGATTTGGTTATACGCTTTAACCAAGTCGATTTTCGAAAAGACAGTTGTACCTTTCAAGGTAGCTGTCAAATCGTGAATGTGAGGCAACGGGTAACGATCGGGAAGGGTTTTTGCATTCAATCGCCGATAGTCACCAGTTGGACGCCAATCGTTGCTGTCCTTTTTAGGGACCATGTGCAACGGAGATGCATAAGGGCTGTTTGACGGTCGTATGATTCCTAAGTCTATCATGTGATCGAATTCGTTTTTCGCTAACCTTAGCTTTTCAGGAGCTAGTCGTCGTGCTTTGAAGAATACAGGTGGTCCTGTAGTCGTGATGTGATGTGTAACACTGCTGGTTACACACGGTAGTTTCGTTTGAGTTTGTTGTATCCCAGGGTACTTGTCGAGTAGTGGTTGATAGAGTGGGTCTATCGAATGCTTAACTGTGACTGGGGATAATCTACAACCAGAAAAAGAAGTTACGCAAACGGATAATTTAGTGTTTCCATCTACTAGCCTCCGTTTGCGCGTGTCGATGATTAGATTATGATGTTGTAGAAGATCCATACCAATGATTGGCATAGAAACATCTGCAACAACGAAAATCCAATGAATGGGTTTGCGTAAGCCCACGTTAAGGTAGACGTACCTTTTGCCATACGTGGCGATCGGTTTTCCATTTGCCGCCTGTAAGTTTAGAGCCGATTCGTGAAGCCGGTCGTTAGGATTTGCTGGGAGAACGCTAACTTCTGCGCCAGTGTCGAAGAGGTAGCGAACTCTCGTTGTCACATCTGTGACGTACAACAGACGGCTATGTTCGCCGGTTACGGTTGCTATTAACGCTTGCCGGCTTGGAAGTTTCCCGAGTTGTTTTTCGAGTCAGTCGGTTTCGTGTTGGGAAAATTGCAGGGTTTTCTGCAATTTCTGGAAGATTTTCCATACTGGTTATGATACCAGCACCAGTCAGGGTTATCCGTCTCTCGTGGTCTAGAGACAGATCGTTTACGCGAAATGCTTCTACGTGGACTGCGTGAGCGACTACGGTCGTTACGAAGATTAAGATAACGCGTGAGTGTATGACATAACTCGGTTATGTCATTCTGAGTCGCGTGAGGCTTTTCTTTGACGGAAAATACCTCTGAAGTAGACGATTTCGTTATTTCTAAAATACGATCGGCAGATGCAGCTAGCTCGTCTAAGGCGTTGTTCTGAAACGAGACCAGAACCGCTTGCACCTGTTGAGGAAGTTTAGACAAGAAAAGTTGTTTAAATAGACCTTCGTCGAAAGTCCTTAGGCCTATCACTTCTCTCATTCTTTGCAACATGTCAGTCGCAGAACCGTGTTGCAGGTCGATGTTATTGAAGAGTTGATCTAACCTTTGTCGATCGGTTAGGTCTCCTCGTTTAAGAATCGAACGTTTTAGGATTTCGTAAGGTTCAGAAACATCACTAGTAAACATACTAGGTGTTACGTACCTGTTGAATTCGCGCGGTAGTGCCTTGACTACTGCGAGGAATTGTGCACGTGTGTCGATCACGCCGTGCTCGGAGAAATCGGATTCTGCGTAGCAGAACCTGGCTTCGATATTGTCGGGCCAGAAAGGCATTAGTTGAAACGAAGGCGGGGACAAAGTCTTAAGCTTGAGTACTTTGGGTGTCTGTTCAGCCATGATGAAATATGAAGTACGATAATGAACGAGTTGAAAAAAAAAATATATATATATATATCCAAGGAAAAACACGAAAAAAAATCACAATGTTTAAAAAAAATTAAGGTAATAATATATAAAAATTCCAAAAAGGAACAGACTCACAGTTGCATTTAGGTGTACCAGATCACGACGGTCTCACCAATGATGATGATACAGGTATTCAGTGTTTGACAACGCTTCTACCAGTAACACCTTCTAATATGCTCTGTTCCCACCGAGAGAAATCAAAAGACAGAGTCGAGGAGATCGGAAGAGTGTATTTGGCGATAACCAATATATCGGGAATCTCTGGTCTAATCTGGCTAGTGATTGCGATTGTTGTTGAGCACAGCGTGACAGCACGTGATCTGGTGCGGATGCATGACCGAGCGCCTTCAGCTAGATGAGTCCACTAAAACATATGGTCAGCATCCAATGTCGAAAACCTATTGAGCTATTTAGTTTGGGGATTTATTTACCGCTACACATGCGTTCAAGAACAAAAAGACTTAGTAGTAATAATAATTAATGACTTAAAAACAACCACGCACTGCAACGCAGCCGCTGTCAAAAGATTTCGTGCGTTATGGTCACATCGCTGAGCGTTCAGATCTTTTGACGAGGAAATGTTTCGAATTTTATATCCCACCTATGTAAGACAATATTTAGTGTTGTATCCAAGCAGCCAGCTCATGTCTGGTAAAAGATACTGACTCACTTGAGCGTGTGTGAACGAAATTAGTGGAGGGTCTTTCTAAACTTCCTTACGATGAACTTTAAATACGCCTAAACATTTCACCCTTGTCCTATCGTAGGGCGTGAGGTGACCTTAGAGTGGCATTTCGTATCTTTAATTGTAATTTAGGTGTGTATATGGCTTAAATTTTTGCTCCATCCAGCACTAATAATCGCCGAGCTCATGGGAAGAAGGTTCACAAACCATGATCCAATAAACTTAAAGTGGGGTCCCGTTTTTCTCATATAGTTGTCAATGATTGGAACGCTTTACCCAAACAAGTTGTTTCAGCCCCATCAATGAATATTTTCAAGGAGAAGCTGGACTTTCACTGAAAATCAATCTGTCAGGATTTACACAGGTTCACCAACCTACTATCCTTATTACTGAAGTTTGAATTATGAATTGGATATTGCATGTAAGTATTGTATATTGTACATATGACCTCTGTACTGTTGCTAAAATAAAATTTATCTCTCTTGTAATATCATCTCGCTGTTTGTTAGTATCTTCCAAGCTATTATTTAAAAACACTGCAAAAGAGTGATCACAAGAAAGTGAGTTATAATTCACTTCAAAACGTTTAAAATATGTTTTAAAAATTCCTTGATAAAATTTATCCGCTGAAGTATCTGCTAAAAATTCAGTTTGCTAAGAAATTTTTTCAGTTAATGATTTTTTAAGGAAAAAGCTTGATGTGCATTCCTTAACTAATATTTTGCATTCATAATCGTCTGTATAAACTAAAACTATGATCAGATTTTCAAATTTTTTACTGTTGATTTATATAGCAATTATTTGATTTATGTACAACATCTGATGGATTTCGAAAAGTTCAAGTTTTCTCAATCAATCCACTTATGACTTTGCTTTCCGTGTTTTTTAGTTGGGCTCATTTATTCAGTCACAATACCGAAGCTCTTGTGGATGAACGAGAGTAATAAAAGTGTTTGAAGTGTGTTCCCAACTTTTCGTATTTTTATTTTATTCGCTTTGCACACTTTATCCACCTTTTTATTCTTGTCCAACAGAAGAAGTGGCACTTCACTGAGACGGCTAAGCTTACTCCTAATTAAGGACGAGAAAAACAGGTCCAGACACTTTTTGGCTGAGATGATTATGTATTATACTTTACAAAGTAGATCATTTGCACATGTCTTGATCGTTTTTGGCCTGTGTTGACACTCATTACGGATATCATTAAAATCTATATAGACTGTGAGGATGATACAGGTATTCAGTGTTTGACAACGCTTCTACCAGTAACACCTTCTAATATACTTTGTTCCCACCGAGAGAAATCAAAAGACAGAGTCGAGGAGATCGGAAGAGTGTATTTGGCGTTAACCAATATATCGGAATTCTCTGCTGTATAATAGACAAAAACAGACTTTTATTGACCAGATTATATATATATTACTTAGCTGCTTGTATGGATAGTGACTCTAATCACGAGTTGTAACTGGTGTAGTGAACGAGAACACAAGTGGGCACAGTCGAACAAGTGAAATTTGCTGTCTACGCACTTGACATATAGATTTTCCCCATCAACGATTTTCATATTTCTAATACAAGCAAATAGACCTGAGACAAACTTTACTTACATACTTACTCCTATTACCCCTCGTAGTAGATCATAGGCCTGCCACCACCATTCTCCATCTCACTCTGTCTTGGACAATCCTCTTTAGTTCTTCTCTGTTGCTTTTCATCCTTTTCATGTCTACTTATAAGTCCAAATGCAGTGTATTCTTTGGTTTTCCTCTTTGCCCGTTCCATTCAAAATCTCAAGTAATGGCTTGCTCCGTGATACAGTTTCATAACTTCCGAAATGTATATCTTATCCATTTCTAACGTCTTTTCATAATTTTCTCCTCTACCACAGTAAGCTTTTGCTGATAGTTTCCGGTCAACAGATATTGGATATCTTTCTTAGACAAATGTTTATAAATAGCTGTACATTTTTGATGATAGCTGTAGTAGTTCTTCTCATTTCATCTCCGTACAACAGGACTGATTTGACATTTGTATTGATGATTCTAACCTTGATATTAGTTTGAATTTGTTTTAAATTCCATATGTTCCTCAATCGTAGGAATGCAACCCTTGCTTTGCCAATCTTTGCGTTTATTTCTGCATCAGATCCTCCTTGTTTATCGACTAAACTTCCCAGGAACGTAGAAGTTCCCAGGTCTTCCCCATCAAGTTTAATTGAATTGGTGTTCTCCGTGTTGTATTTCAGGATTTTGGTTTTTCCATTGTGTATGTCGAGGTTTACTACTGTAGAGGCTGCTGCTACATTAGTTGTCTTCATCCACATTTGCTCGCGTGTGTAGGATAGAAGGGTCAGGTCATCTACGAAGTTCAAATCTTCTAATTCGTTTCGAGCTTTCCGTTGCATTCCGTGCTTTCTCACAGATGTGTAGGTCTTCATAATCCAGTCAACCGCCAGAAGAAAGAGAAATAGGGAATATGCAGTCTTGTCTGACTCTGATCTTCACGTGGAATGCGTCTTTCATCTGACCCCTATGCACGACTTTGCAGTGTGATCCGTCGTATGAATTCCGGATAATGTTGACGATTTTCTCAGGCACACCGAAGTGTCGAAGAAGTTTCCATAATGTTATGTCATACGCACTGTCGTGTGCTTTCTCATAATCAAGGAAGTTGACACATAGTGACGAGTTTCATTCAACTTATTGTTCAACAATGATCTGTGGTGTCACGAATAAACTCATTGAATCCGGCCTATCGACCTCGAAGCTGGGTGTCTGTCGAATCTTTCATCCGATTCATTGACATTCTGTTGCAAATCTTTCATGGTACTGACAATAGTGTGATTCCTCCATAGTTTTTACATTTGCTCAGATCTCATTTCTTTAGTATCTTGATGAGTTGTTCTTCTCAATCCGTCTGTGACACCTGCTTTTCCTCTCAAATATTATTAAAGTAGACTGTGAAGAATCTTCACAGTTATTTCTGTGCTTTACAACAGTGCTTCAGCTGGTATAGTATCAGGTCCTTTTGTCTTCCCATTATTGATTTGTCTAATGGTCATCCTGATTTCTTCCGTCATTGGTGGGGTGACATCCATATGATGGTCTGTGTGTGCTGATTCTATGTCTCGTGCGTTTAGTGTTTCTGGTCTATTTAATGGTTCGTCAACGTGCTCTACTTACCTGCTCGCTTGCCTTCTTTGTCCTTGACCGGTCTCTCTGGTTTACCATAATCCCCTACCAGTTTCTTCGTCACGCCATATAGTTGTCTGATATTTCTTTCTCTTGCATCTTTTTCGCTGTCGTTGATAGATCTTCCACGTATTCCTGCTTGTCGGCTTTGCTGCTCCACTTCACTTGTTTGTTTGCATCTGTGTATTCAGCTTGTGCTTTGACTTTCGCTGCTCTTGTCAGGCGAAGGCGAGATATCCGTCTACCAATTAAGGGACGAGTATACAGCACGGCAGTTCGTTCTGTTCTACTTTACGGTTACGAAACGTGGCCATTAAGAGTAAACGATACTTGTAAGCTATTAGTATTTGACCGCAGATGCCTTAAAAATATTGCTCGCATCTTCTGGGATCACCGGGTAAGTAAGAGTGAGGTTAGACTAATGTTATAAGGAGATAATGGTAAACTAGTTGATGAAGTTTTGAATCTTCATTTACTGAAATGGTTGGGCCACGTCTTACGTATGCCTGAACTCCGATTACCAGGACGTTCAATGATGACTAGTGTAGGAGATGGCTGGAAGAAAGTTGAGGCGGCCGAACCAAAACGTGGCGTCAGTTATTGAAGTCACTAACTTATATTCATAGCCATGTTCGTAGATGCAGACTACTTGGTTTGGCTCCGCGTGACTGTGTGACGTAGCTCTGAATCAGTCACTGGCGTAAATGTATACACTCTCTGTATTCCCTTAAACCGTGAAGTTAAAATTGCTTCATATCTTACTTTCTACGAACTAATTCTTTCTTCCTGTATTGTATATTTATATGTAATCTTTCTTTTATATATTACCACCATTCAATTAACTACTTCTATGAACTGGTGTTCATCTTGTTGTGTTAATGAGGTATGGCAACTTGGACAGACGTATATATTCGCATGGTCCCATTTTGTAGCTGACTGAACGACTGACTGGAATATTTGGGATATAAGCGAAGGTATGTGCTGGTGAAGAGATGGAAGAAGAAGAAAATGAGTGTCATCAAAAAACAAATGAACAAATTAAAATCAGTGAGAGTATTCCATAATTGAAGAAACATTTCAGTTAAAACAGTAATACTAAAGCTCAACTTTTTCACTTTTATGAAGCTAAATAAAACTACATCAGGACCGTCATTGGCTTTTATTCCAAGCCATGTCTGATAAAGTTGAAAGTCACTGAGTTGCATTATCTTACAGAATCAAACTATGTATTTCCATTAGACCAACATATCTCAGTCCTATATAGCTTTATTCACACACCAATGCAGTGTGAAAGACCGAACAACTCTTCGTTCTTTCCGACCAGTCTTAGCTGTATAACGATCTTATACCAGCATTAGCTTTCTTAGCCCAAACCGTTAACTCAAAAAGTCTAGTTTGTTTATTAAACAACTTGAATTGAAAAGTTATTAATGCTGAATTTATTTTCATCATAGTTATATCAGACTGTATCGTGACAAAAAATTCCAAAGAAGTCAAATTCTATGTAATCCACAACAATCTAACGACTATGGTTTTATGCTTCCTTTTTGAAGCACAGAATTACAAACTTTTAACCCTGTAGATCAGAGATAATTAACTTCTGTTGGACAGTTCTAATGGGACACAACAAATAAGCATACTCCAAATGACATTTTTACTTATAATTAACTGATTCCAATGTGATTTCATTCATTTACAGCTCACAATTAAAAAATGTAGATAAACCAAAATAGTAGATTATTAAAATGAACTACGTTGATGCGAATTACTTAATTCGAGAAACATCGCTACTATTTAATACTAACATAGATACTTAAAATAGATAACTTCCGGATACCATCGACTCAGCTACTGACAAGGTTACCAGAAATAGTTCTGAAAAAAACTCATTGACTAAGTTTAAACACATAATCTCAATTTCTCCCCACACTTTGATAGTTAATGCTACTATCTGGTCACTCAAACTGAATTGGCCAATTTAAATTCTGCAACTGCGACCTGTTGGTTCATATTTCAACTTCTAATACGAAACCATTACTCTGCATAAATTAGCCCATAAATTCTTGTAACAAATAACTTTTACTTACTTTGAATTACAATCAAAACACTGAAACAAAAACAGAAACTCTCTACTAAGGGATCCGGTTTTAGTTAAGGACCTCATTTATATATCTAGGAAAATGTTCCTAACATATTCTACGAATATCAGTTATGTAACTCCAAGTTTATTTTTACTCAAAATTAACTTTTTTTTTAATGTCGACTTCTCTCAAAGGTTTAATTTCCTAGGCTTTATTAAATTATGTATAATGAGTTTGGTAGCAACTGAAATAAAGTCATAGATCTAGGTTCTTTTCTGCTTAGCGCTA